TTGAAAAAAATGTTTCTCAAGCTTAGAAAATAATACCCTCTAGTACTTTCAATACTATTTAGCTAATACATAGAGCTTTCAAATGAGGTATTGCGCATATTTTTAGTCTGACTACCAAGGTGAGTTTATTGAAGTTGAATACAGAGCTTTTCTAAAAAAAAGTGAAATTTGCAAATTTTCTTAGACTATCTGTTATAATTTCGGCGCCTTATGTATTTTTATTTTGTAGCACGTTAAACAGGCCACCAGTAAATATTTTATTTGTGTCCTTTGAGCTGGCCATGTTTCCGGCAAAAAATCCCGAATTTGGCAACTTTTTTTAATATTGCTCGTGCAAAAAGTCCTAAAAAAATTGATAAACATAAGTCATTATTTTCACAGTTAAATTACTTCATCACCCTGCCACCAATACTATGTTATTGAGTGCATTTCAGAAAATGTCTTGTGAAAAAAATTGCTCTTTGATGCCCTTTAGCTCAGTCGGCGCCAAACTGCAGACTCTTATATATAGGAAGGAAAATTTTTTGTAATGGAAATAAACGACTAGGGTGAATTTGTAACTTTGAGAAACATGTGGAAATGTTTTCAGCCATATTCGTGACAGTCCGAAAAACGCTGGATGATTTGGCATGGAGCGATGCAGTGTGTGCATTCTAAATAATCCACAATGCTATGTTTGGTTCTGCCGCAACTTTTGTTGTGCAAATACGTTTAACAGCGAAACGTGCTCTCCGCAGAGGCTCGTGACGTCTAGTTCAATTGGTAGCGTGGCAGCGATTCATCGGCGGACATCGTCCGTTCCAGAAACGCTGCTGGTAGCTGATTTGAAGAGTTGCGCAGCACGTAATACAAGGAATTTTCACTAAAAACTTCACGCGTGCCACCAGAATATTTGTCACGCCTGTTTCTGGACATCGCAATCTAATTTTCAGTGCTTCACATCCACAGAAGAACTTGGAACGATGGGAGTCTGTTCACATTTTTCTTTTAATATACTTTATTCAGAAAAGCTTTTTCGTAAAGCCTCCCTGCAGAACATCCGCGCTTGTAATCACTGTTGCAGTAAAAGCCCCCGAAAGACCCTGCCATTTCGAACTCGATATTGCTAGGTTCTGAATGCGAAATTGTCACGTGCTTTTTTAAAAATGTTATCTCATTAATGAAAGCATACGTTCTAGTCAGAGCAGCCACGATTCGGTTTTGATACATGCAGCTTTCAGTAATAGGGCCATCGCTGGTGGCTCTGGTGTCGGAAAGCCCACTATGAAGCGGCTAAGCCATGTTACACGTACATTCCGTGCTTTCCAGAATCAGTACCATACGGTTAAGAAAAAAAATTTGACATCACAGCATCACATTCATTACTTAATTTTTTTTATGAGGGTGGCGGGGGGGGAAGGCTGCGTCACTTGAAGGGTGCAGTCACTGACGCGCACTATATCTTGAGGCATGATTAGTTCATAAACTTTCTGTGCTACTAACCTCTGCTTTGCGTTTCTGATAACTGACAGCACGAAAACCGATTCGGCAACTGGAGTGATCATTGTGCCTTTAGCCAGCTTTCTTTTGACTTAAGTTATACTGGGTACAAAAGATACAATTTTTTACTATCACATAAGCTCTCAGCAATGAATGCGATTTCAACAAATTGTATTTTTATACCAAATAATAAGGCTTGATGTCATCCGCGAGGTGCACTAGCGTCGGGGCTGCCGTTTCGGAGGTCCACACACTCGCTGCATGCGCAGAAAACTTTCTGCACGTGCAGTGTTCGATATCCGTACAGCGACTTGTATGACCAGAGAACCCCGGAGAACACCTCTTGCACGCCGACGCACGTACAGATCGAATCAGACCTGTCTAGAGCGCCCAACCGGCTGCTCCAGCTGTCGTACTTTTTTTGTGTGTTCAGAAATATGTAAAGAGAGACGCTGTAATAATACCAAACATGATCACACTGTGTTAAGTCCTTGTGCTATAATGTAAGCATCAACGGAGGCTTGTAGCTAATGTGAGATAGAAGCCACGGCCAACAATACTATCGACAGGTACGCATTCCGCTGCTCTAGATAAGTGTGATTTTATGAATGGCGCGAACGAATGAACATCCAAAATGGCGCGACTGGTGTGACCACCTTGCGATCAAGGCTCAGTGCACAACCCTATATGGCTGCTTTAAAAAGCGAAGCACTTTCGCCCAGTCACTTCCCACTCAGAGTACAAGGTAGAAGGGTATTTAATGCCTGCCGAAATAGCAACCATGCCAGCAATCACACCCTTAAAGTCAAAGTTCATATTCATATAACAAGTCCCCCCCCCCCCCCCCCCCCCCTGCGGTCCTAGTTCCTTTCTGCTCCTTGAAAACGGGCGGGGCGTTCCTCTCTGCTTGAGTAACAATGGTTGGCAGGCCTGACACAGGGGGTGATGTTATCGCATCCGTCCTTCGTGCAAAAAAGATATGTTAGCTCTTTTATCCTGTGCTTTAGCCGTGCTCGTTGCCCCCGCTCACGGGGTTTTACCCGCCTGCAAAACATGATGTGCGGAAAGATGTCATTAATTTGGACACTACTCAAAACATGACAGTGGCGGCCAGTGGCGTAGCCAGGGGGGGGGGGGACATCGAGAACGTCCCCCCCTTCAAAATTTTTTCGCCATGGCACATATCGCGCAAAATGACCGTTTGCCTGCTTGCCCCCCCCCCCCCCCCCCCCCCCTTGAAATCAAGGTGCCACCCCCCCCCCCCCCCCTAAAAAATTCAAAATATTTTTTCCTGTGCCCCTGGCGACGGCAAAATCACGGCAAAGTCTAGTCGAGAATGTCGATATAATTGCTAACGCAATAAAAACAAAATGGCTCTCGCCTTTAAGTAAGGTGCGCCTTGAGGTTATCTTTTTTCTTTTTGCACTGCTTTCTAGAGGACGCTATAGGGGGTTTTCGGTGTATAGACAGAACGACCTAGCCACATAAATCACCGCTGCAAAAGGAAAACTAAGTTTGGTAAATCGGTCAGTTTCAGCACAGAGAGGTAGATGAGTGCCGGAGGTGGTTGTCTTGATGAGACTAGCTAAATGACGTCATGTTACGCCCAGCAATATAAGCAGTTGTGAAGAAAAGGAACCTTTTCTTTTTATCCTTCAATTCATATTAGAGAAATGCAGTTGGGACTGTAAGTCTCTAGCGTTTGACTACCAAATCTGCTGATAACCACATGGGTGCATTCAGCATGTTATTTTATGAAATACTATTTTATTCAACCAGTATTCTGTTTATTTGCTACGAAAGTAATCACTGAACAAGTTTTTCTAGAATGCTCAACAGCGTGACGACATTATTTTTGCATCATCAGCTGAAATAGGGGAGTGCCCCTAAGATCTCTGGCGTCATGAGGTTTGCAATTAATAAAAATATTTCTTGCTCTTCACAAAAGCCCCAACATAATTATTCATGTCATTGAACGTAAATGCTACTTGCTTCTCCTTCAGAATGTAAGGTTAGCTGCTCAGGATTGCTCCAAAATAGAAAATTTTGCTGCTCCAAAGTGCTCCAAGTGCAAATTTTGCTCCTACAAAAATTGCTCAAAATCAGCAGACCTCGGTAGCATCACTGCATTAAAAACAAGAATTCAGTCCCTGTCGTCATGCGAGCAAAAATCATCTTCAGTGAATGTCGGCATGCGAGCGATACAGGTTACACTATGCGGAAAGGAACTTTCATAAGCTTCACGATCCAAAGGCTGAAAAAAGCAAACAGATGGAATTAAAAAAAACAAGCTTTTTGCTCACATTTTTTGTCTAAGCTACACTTTTTATGTACACTGTGTTGTTAATTCAGGTCTTCGATCACAGTGATGCGTTAAACGTGAATGATTATGAAACGGTTCCCGTGAAGGAGGCTATAGAAGTGCATCCATGAGGCAGCGACTGGCCACATGTCATTTGAAAAGTTTACTGTCACGGAAATCTTGTGAACAGCAAAATATTGCTTACTGCACAAGGGATGGATCAGTCAGTAAGAGGCTATGGTGACACTCACATTGCGGCGGCTGAGTAGTAGTGCACTCCGCGGCTACGGGTGACGGCTAGGCGCCGATATCGTCGCTAGGCCTACGGCTTCGGAACTGCAGTGCGTCCACGCTCATATAAGAAGAAACGTTTTTGCTGCGCACTGCACGGCGTGCAGCTGTGTACGCCTACAGCAGGAACTTATAAGGTTCGTTTGTATCACAGGTCTCATTCAAGCAATACACATAACAGTCGTCATCGCTTTTGATAAGAGGTATGTTTCGGTGATATATGTGTTGCCCTGAAAACACGTTGCATCTACTTTGCCACTGCTGACGGTGGTAGCCCTGGCAAAGGATTGAGCACGCATTGCATGAAGTTTTGTTGTCGCTGATTGGTCCGTTGGTCGCGCAGTAAGCGTGTTATGATGCAGTATTGCTGTATTTAGGGCACTACTAAACTGCCATGCTTTATGTTATACACACTGGACACATGAACACTTTGAACGTGGAAGAGCGTTTGAACGTTGGAAGAGCGTGGTACTTGCCACTCCTTCGGACTGCGTTGATTGTAGAGTTAGATATCTTTGAAAACATGCGAAATATCAGTCTTGCTTTAGGCTTCTTATTAGCATCTCAGCACATAGCACGTGAAACAAACCATCACGATTCATCGAAATACGGCTGCTAAAGCTTGTTAATGCAGCTTGCCGATGCAGCCGAATGTACCGAGTACTTCAAGTACCGGCGTGCCTTGCGGTAGCGGTGGCGTAGTGCAACTCACAGTGAGATCAGTCTATTGGTTTCCCAAGTTGAAAATGTGTACTCCTGTGAGTAAAGTTTGGAATCTGATTTGTTTCTTGTAAGTGTTGCATTGAACTTCTGTCTGTGCTCAAGCTGCTTTTTCTTTCATTTTTTTCTCTTCTTTTGTGGTTGTATCTTGTCGGTTCACTTAGAACCAGTGTCCTTACATTTGTGAATGGCCCCCGCCTGCCATCAGTCTATTTTTCAGCAGTGGGAGCAGCGAAATGCAGGCCTGGCTGACAGCCATAGTGGATGGAGGGGTCCCTCGTCTGATGCTCTGTCTTCTGCTATACATAATGTGAGGGGTGACCTTTACCTCTATTGTGGACGTTTGCCCGGAGAGATTATTGCTCTCAATTAGAAGGCAATGAAAGGTTGTGAAACATGCTGCAGGTGACTTGCTGCGCAGGTTTGCTCTTGAACTAGCCAATAGTTCGATTCTGGAGGGCACAGTGTCACTGCCGCAAGCAATTTGTTGAATCTTGGAAACATGGGCGTCATAGCATGCATTGTCGTCTGAGCCAATGAAAAGTGCAATCATCTCATCTCTGCACTGCAGTAAATCCTTGTTATCTTGTTCTTGCGGAAAGTAACCAGAGCCCAGAAACTAGGAAAATGTAGGCATCTTTTTTTGTTCCTAAAACTGGACAAGCTTTTGGCTGTATAGTCCAGTTCAAGGTCCAAGTCAAGCCATCATAGATTCTTTGGTGATTTTTCTGGTGTAGGTGGTCTCTTCCTGCATTTTATGAAATTAATGTTTCATGGATGAAGCTCTTAAGGAAAATCGTTTAAAGTAAGAGAACGATGTGGTCCAACTTAATATTTTCTGCAGCTTATTGCAACTCCCACTGTGTGAACTCTGAAAAGTCTTCACATGTTGTTTTTAAATGGATAGTATTATAGGCAAATTTTACCCATTTTGAAAGCATGTTGCTGGAAGTGCGTGCTCATCTCTTAAGCATTCTTGTCTAAAGAGCATATCATAGCACTAGCTGGCACTAGAAAAAAAGTTTTGAGGAACTGGTCTACAGTATGTGTGCTAAACATTTCAAAGAGCATCTTTGGCTAGAGAGGTCTGTCTTCTATCATAGCCAAACGCTTAGAGCAGTACTTTTGAACTGGAAGACACGAACTGTTCATCATTTGTTTCATTATTGTATTATTAGCATACTTTGCGCACTTTGAAAACCTCTATCGGGAAACTCCAGGCAACTTAAAGGGACATTAGTGAGCAAATGATTTTCCTCATATTAGTAAATCATTACGCTTGCAACCAAAAGGTGCAAGCTGAGCAAAACGTAAAAAAAAAAATACAGCTTCACACACCAACTCAACCGTGGCATCATAGACTTCGACAGCATCTGGTAGGGCTTCCACAATTTGTTGTTAGTAAAATTGAATTGCATCGTTTCTAAGGGAGCAGGAAAGCATGACACATTTCAGGTTTATCATGCAGCTTGTGGGACCAAAAACTGAAAAAAAAAAAAAAGGCTGAAGGCTAAATCTCGTGACATCACATTCACATTTGGGTGCTGTTCCTTAAGTGTAAAATTCAAAGATGAAGCGTTTACTTTCATTTTCCCATCTATTAAACCTATCATGGTGAAATTAGCAGTAAAGATTTCAAGGAGTAATTTATCAGTCTACACTGATTAAGTGTTTCCCTCTAGTGTTTAAGCATTCATACGAGTGTTATGGTGTGCAGAAATGTGCAAATTTGTGACAAATACAGCATGAAAGAGCACTTTTATAAATGATATATGCAAGGTCGTTTATGACAGATGTAAGTAGCTATTGACGCATCTCAACTGAAGTGTACTAGTGGATATATCAAGGGTGAGTTGGTGCTGCGAAGTTCTGTACTAGTTTCGTTTTCTCTGATCAGGTGAACCTAGGAATGTGTGTGTGCCATTCTTTTCCACATCTGGAGAAATTCAGTCATGTAAAGTATATATTAATATAAATACTAATCATAACTCATGCCTTTTGGACCTCGTGCGGCTCCGGCCAAATCTCAAGTGTGCTAAACTGATACATTTGTTAGCCTCACTTTCAGTTTCATGAACAAGAAATCGTAGAGGCCAAGGTCAGGTATAGTATAGAGTGGTTGCAGAAGTACTGGGTTGTGTTCAGAAATCGGAAACTGTTGAAATCAGGGATTTGTGAATGGGTGTGTTGTGGTGATGAAGCCAGTTCCCCTTCTCAGACATTAGCACCAAATACGTTTTCTGAAACACATTGACAGTTTGTTGACAGTTTGTTAACGAGATGGAGTATTGTCAGTTTGTTAAGGAGATGGAGTAAGTTCTTTGCAAACATTTCCATGAGGGTGAAAGAGAAGAAGGAACTGGGATTTCAAATGACCATGAACTTGACATCACTTCTTCAGCTGCGATAAAGTTCGCAGCTTTCATTGCAATGACTGCTTTTTAGTTTTGGAATCATCACTTTAAACTCATGTCTCACTATCGGTTAAGACAGCTAGCTACTCAAGATTCTGCTAGCTTAGAGCAGACAGTGTTGTAAGTGATCTCAAGTAAAGTACCTAGTAGTTGACTCAATCCTTCTTCTACCTAAGGTATGTTTAGGTTATGCTTTGGCCTACTGCACCTCTAGCATTAGTGAATGGTGCACTTTATCACACTGCCTTCAATTAATTAGGGTAAAACCTTGCTGCAGTTGTCACTTGCTCTGCACACAAAACCTAATAGGCACTTGCCAAAGTGGTGTTTGCTAACATGACGGTCGTTTGCAGAGAACATATGAAAGCTGTATATTTTTGCAACAATAAGCAATATTGTAGCACAACCAGCATTACCCCTGGCATTTTGAAAAGTCTTGTAGCTGCCACCACATATACTGACAGCACATGTTAGCTTTGCTAAAGGTGCAGCACTGTGGCATTCATTTAACCCTTTGAGAGTCAAAGACGTACGTGTATGTCATCCGCTACAGCAACAAGACGTTCAAAGACGTTCATGTAGGTCATTGCAGTATGTTTAAGAGGACAGGGTAAGCAAAAATGTTGAAAAAAAAAATAGTTTTTTTTTTCCTTTTTGTGCAATTTGAAATCTACAATCTTTTCTAAACCAGAATCAGTCATTTATTTGTTCTAGTTCAAATTATTTCGTCTAGAAATCACATATTTTGAAACCTATGCGGCGGCCTGCTTCACCCTCCTTAGGTATGCTTCACCTGAGTGCAAAGTGGGCAGCTAAAAACGCGCCGAAATGAAGGGCCAGTGGTAATGGTATTTGGTCTGAAAACGAGTGCTTCATCTGCCGATTCAATGTTTAGCTGCAGGCAAAAGTGCTTTGCAGGCGTCTTTTTGCACGAGTTGTTTGCGCACGTTGTTCGCAGAGTCCCAAAAGTATTATGGTTTATTCATTAGAAGAAATATAGTCAGCTTAGAGGACATGCGAAAGGCTGTCTGGGCAACATATTTTCACATCACATCAACGGATACCAATCGATCCCACAGCCTCTGCCCGAAGGACATGGATACCTGGTGCAAATTCAATAAAGCTCAGTTCAGTGGTGAATCGTACGTTCACAAAGAACACCTTCTGGCATCTGTTCTTGAGGCTGTTAAGCCAATTTATGAGCTACTTGCTAATCCCGAATCACTTGAGAAATGCATCCATGGGAAAACTCAAAACCCCAAGTCGTTCAACAATGTCGTGTGGGATCCCGCTCCAAAAAACGTGTTTCTCGGACATCTAACACTGATAAACTACAGTCTTGACGCTCTAATCATTAATGATAGCATCATAGCCCGCGTGAATGTGCTGAACTCGTTTGTAATTTCGCCAGGTCGGTACACAGTGCAGGGCCTACGCGCACTTGACCTGCGTCGACAGTACTTCGCTGACAGGGCTGCAAAGCAGGCGACTAAGGAGGCTCGCCAGGCCAGATGCCTCAACTAAAAAAAAAAAAGTGATATTGGTGATGAGTACATGGCTGGTTCCTATTAAAAATGTCTTTCAATTGGCGGGTATTTTGTGGTACTTATCAAATAAAGTATATTTTCCACTTTAAACATGATTATCTCAAAACATGCTTTTTTGTACTTATGTAGCTTTTTCTCAGCAACCATTGTATCTAGAAACATAGATATCATCCAGTACTTAGAGAACGTGCTAGAGGTATACTTAAGCAGAATTATTCTCGTGTGAGGAAGTACTTTTTTTTAACCCGACATCTAATACCGATTAAAGGGTGATAATTAGGTACCTCAAGTAAAAAAAATTACATAAATTATCATTACAAGTTTCAGGGATGATTCTGCTTCAGTAAGAAGAGAAATGGCTTATTATCATAATGATGGTAAAATAATTACTGTAACTTTTATGGTTGGGGAGAAAAAGGTTAATAAAGTTTGCCTAAAATACATGGCGGGTATGAGCTCACCCTGTTCTCTTAAAGCGGGCGAGTTTTCTTTTAATCAATTCTCTAGCTTGGCATGTGCTGCCACACTTCTGGAATACATGGAATTTTTTTCATGCACGGATGTATCTCCGCTTTCTTTTAATGCTTTATGCCGGCTAGTTTCGGTTTTGTCCTTGGGCCGGTTCTCGCGTATCGCTCCTGCAGAACTAATTGCATTCTAGTTTAGAATCTTTCAAAAGGAGACGGATTTGTTACTATCTTTTTTTTTATTCCTTCCCAGTAGTCCTGTTTCTGTGCAGGTGCTGAATGACACAAACGATTCTGCTGTGGTTGCGTTTTCATTTTCAGGGACTGGCAAAAACCACTGCCCTTTCGCCGGCAATAAGATGAATCATTATTATACGTTTTGGACTCGTTTTTTGCTTTCTGGACACGCTTGTCACTAAAAAGTTTTTTTCAGTTTGCTCACCTAGTACCTGGTTTGCTTATGCTATGGAAGTGCACGTCAGTTTCTCGGCTGCAAAAGTGTGTTTAGCGGCGATTCGGAAGATTGGAGGCTCGACTGCCAAATCAGAATATGATTCAGTATATGTCAGCTCGTCATACAAGAAGTTACTTAAGAATTAAGACTCCGAGGTTTATGAGTGAGTGAAATCTCAAACGGATACGGCAAGACGATGCTGACTGTTATCAAAATTGACTCCCCTGCTCTGTATTTCAAATTAATGCCACTTCGTGGACTTATTTTTGTACACCTATGAACTTCACAGTTGTTTATTTTAAAGTATAATTTTTAACTGTCTATAGGCTTTTATTTTTTGAATTTATCTTGCTCTCACAAATAAACCATTTGTATGTAACAAGACAAATGATTTTTGGTTACATTATGGTCGCCCCCAAAAATTTAGACAATTTGCAGTTTCATCAGAATGTGCAGTTTTAGCTGAAGAAAATGTGGTCTCTCGCGGTGGATGGCTGCGCTGCGCAGCTCCAACCTCCAGGATCAAGTGTGGGCCATCCAGCAAGCTTGTGAGGCGGCGAGGAGGCAGAGTCTCTGTTTCTCCTCGAGGGCGGCCTAGGCCCAGCCACAAATTTGCCGGAGTTATTAGTAAAGTTGTTACCACCACCACTAACTTAATTCAGCAATAAAAATACTAAACAAATCTGGGACGGATTTCTAAAAAAACTCAAAGGGTTAATGATGTGCTGAGAGCATACACTGTAACCTTGCCAGAGAAGCACCAGAGAAGCAGCTGCATGCCCAAGGCCACCATGTAGGCAACATAGCCTGTCGTTCAATGCTCCATTGAAGGGTGTGAGCAATGTGCTGCTTCAGCACTCCTTGACACTGTGTGTGTTTGTTTTAATAAGGACTGCCTAAACAGATAGGGCATTAAATTTGCTGGAGTACAGCTCCATGGTGTGACTAATTGCTTAACTCTTGTTTTATGTCATATGCATGCTAGTATGTGTTGTGGGTTTTATGTCGAATGCATGCTACTACGTATTGGGGATAAACTGTGCTATTGGTCTCTTCTTGCATCCAGAACTCTTCCATCTCTGCGAAAATGAGCTCACAGTAGCGTAGTCTAAATTGAATGCCTTTGTGCATTTTTTTAGTTTTCAAAAATTTGACACCTATTTATTGGCATTGCCTGTGCATGAACTGTGGCACCACTCTGTGTCTTTGCACGCCTCTCAATGTTCTACTGTATGGTTTATTTGGCAGCAACTTGCCTGCAATGTGTTACACCTGCTTTCTTTAGTTGGTACTCACTTATACTGCATTCAAACCTCACTATAACAAACACAAATATAACTAAATATCATTTATAACAAAGTAAATGAAAATCAATCTTTCAATTGACACATATTTAGGAATAACATAATGAACTTTTGAATATAACAAACTTATTTTCTTGAAAGATGCAACTTTGTTGTAATGAGGTTTGAGTTTAATCAAACAGTTCTTCAGTGGTTTATTTTTCATTTATATTTTGTACTGCTTTTCTTAATTTTTTAATTTTTTCATCTCGAGTATTTCTGGCTCCTAATTTATTAGGTATATATAGAAGTATATTATGTCACTACTCTTATTCATCATTGCAGATACCAGGTCAGAGTAACCACAATGTTGATGAGAAGCCATGGCATCACCAACACTTTCCGTAAGCATTTGCATTTGGCACCCTTCTTTCCAAGCTTATTTTCTGGTCTCATGCAGTTCAGTGCCACAAGCATGAATGTTTTAAGGTAGATAGCGCAAAAGTGTGATTCAGTAGGCAATTAAAACACCTTCATAGCGCAAGTACTATTAATGTGGGCCCACAGTGGTTTCACTCGTTTGTCCTAATTGGTGATAAAAGGTGGACTACGAGCACTGGATTGAGGGGAGGGGCGCTGACAGAGATTTGGGGGGAGGACAATCGTCCCTGATGCCCCGCCCCCCTCTGAATTCGCCAATGAGTCACGTATTTGTAAAAGGTAAGAAACAGTGCAAAGGACACTTAGCACAAGGGAAGAAATATACAGGATGAAGGCTGAATAACAAGTAATGATTTTGTTGCTTCGGTGCATAATAAAAGTAAACAGGCAGGAAAACATGGCACGTAAAACATAATTTTTTCATCATTATACAATGTCTAAGCATTTTGTAGCGCACTCAAAAGCAGCATGCGGCTTCGAATTCACCATTCCAGGCTGCATGCCGCAGGTCGCAAAGCCAGCTGGAAATCGTTTGCTCTTCTTTCTAAAAATGATGCCATAAACCCAAATGACCCCACCATTTGTGCAAATAATAGCCATTGGCTGATTTGAGCATCATTAGTTACATACCTATCAAGGCCGTTGAGGAATGCCGCAATGTAACTGCACACTCCCAGTGAAAACGAAGTGTGCATCTAGCAAGAAAAAGAAAACAGTGTGACGAAAATCAAGTTCATCTCCGTGTTGATTCATGAGGTAGTAAGCTTCTTTAATGAAGCGATTCGATAATTACTTGGAAATGCTGCAGGGCCTCTTTAAGGTTACTTCAAGGATAGCTGATTTGACTACTGTACTATCCCATTTGCTGTGGAGAACCAATCTAAACACAGATTTTGTGGCATTTTATAACACCAGTAGTGCTGAAAGATTTCCGGTTGACTTATCCGTCATTGTAAGCTTCAATGGCATAACATCTGCTTAAAATATCTGCTTCAGGCACAAATTATGGTGCACTGTCTACGAATGAGTCACATTCACATAACGTAATTCCAAGGCACTCAATATTACATTCCAACAAAGAAAAGTCATGTTTTTTTTTGTGGGAGCTTAAGCAATTAATTGTTATTAGCATGTAACAGAATACCTCATTGTCCAGCAGTCAGTAATGTGTCATTTTGATGTAAAAAGAATGAAACCATAGGCTCCGAGTGTGTGCGTAATTAGCTTTTGACGTTTGTTCTGGTACGCGGCACGTCGAAGGGCGTGTTGAACATTATAGTGCCTTCATCAAAGTGATTGTCTACAGTCATATGCAGCACACTGAGGTCAAGTCATATTGACAATGCAGAAAGTTCTGTTCATCAACAATGAAAAATGTATATTGTTCTCTTTTGGCCACACGCTGATACAACTAGCATATACGAGTTGCGTACACAAACATAGTCACCACTGCTGAAGGGGATATTGTCATAGCGGTAAATTTTACTTTCACCAAACCTGCAGTTCATTGTGTGCAGCAAACAATGCCATGAAATGCTGGTGCTGCATATTCCTTTATTGTATGTTGCTTGCAGTTGATGCCTCACTTGAGTTCTATTTCTAACTTTTTTTTTGGCATAATGCGCTAGTCATTTGCCTTGTAGGCACTAAGATAAGCTATGTCATGTTGACATAATTTATTTTTTACTCGCAGGAGTCAAAATAAAGGGCCCGTTATCTTTATTAGACACAAAGTGAGAACTAACAGAAGTATAGACAGACAGACAGACAGACAAAGAACTTTATTGGGTCTTGAGAAGCGCTGCTCCTTTAGAGCAACGTCGCGGGCCGCTCCCACGTAGGAATGGGGAGGCCTAGTTTCACCGCCACATCGTGGGCTCTCTGGACAGTTCGTAGTTGTGGTAGCAACTCTGAACTTCGTAAGGCAGAGTCCCAGTCTTCTTCTGTGAGCCGACTTGGGCCCCTTAACGAGGGGCACTGGCAGAGCATATGTGCCAAGCCACTAACCTCACCACAATCGGGACAAGTAGAGTCAAAAGCTTCTGAGGAGACTATGCTGAGGAAAAATAGGCTTGGATAGGACCTGGTCTGGCGCATTGTAAACGTGATGGCCTAAGGTCTTGACAACTTGTTGTGTGGAGGAGCAAATGACCGCCTACTCAACTTGTAGTGTTTAGCCACTTCACTGAATGTTGTAAGTAAAGCGTCCCTGAACATCTCACTGCCAAGCTGCGGACCTACGTCCTCCCCAGCATGGAGGGTTAGTGCGCGCGCCCGGGAGTGAGCAGTGTCATTCAGGTTTACTTGAGAGTTCAGTAGAGGTTCGAGATGTGCAGGAAACCAAGTAATGGTATGTGGAGAAAGTGTCTTATTTTCAAGTTGTTTAAATACTTCAGTACAGATGGAACCAGAGGCGAAAGCCTTGACCGCTGACCTTGTGTCGGTGAAGATTTGCGATCTACTGTCATCCAAAAGGGCAAGGGCTACAGCCAACTATTTGGCTCTTGAGGGAGTTGAGCCCCTAACTGACGCAGCATTGATAATAGAACCCATATGATTGACAGAAATAACAGAAAACCTATCTGAGCAACCGTACTGAGCGGCATCGACGAAACACACTGAATGAGGATCGTTCCTGATGTTCTTCAGAAGTGTGATGGCCCTAGCCCGGCGCCTTCCTACGTTGTGCTGAGGATGGACGTTTCGCGGGAACGGAGAGACCTGGATGGCAGTACGCTGTTCATTCGGTAGTTGAAGACTGTGATCCTCTACGAGCGCCGCACTGAGGCCTAGGATGCACAGAATCTTCCTACCAGCCGGCGTACACGACAGGCGCATTAGCTGTGCAGTCTCTTTGGCTTCAATGATCTCATCTAGGGTGTTGTGAACTCCTAGCTGCATAATGTATACTAAAACATGACTGCTGAGAAAAAAATATTTCAATTTGATACTAAAGTTAGTCCTAAAATACTCGCCCTGGATTCAATGACATTATTATAAGGTCACGACACAGAAGCATGTGCTAACACTGTGTGATAATGAGGCACAGTCCTTCCTAATGAGGCACTTTTCTTCCTTCAGATTTACACTACAATTAGTACTTCTAATAACATCCCCTACACTAACAGAAGTGTAGGGGATGTTATTAGAAGTACTAGTTGTAGCGTAAATCTGAAGGAAGAAAAGTGTACGAAAAGATAACTTGCTACCGGCAGGATCCCAACTTGCGACTGAATAATGTGTCCGATACCCTACCACTGAGTGACGGTAGCGGTCGTCCCCCCGTCCACTTAATAGGGTATATGTGTATTTAAACATAGGAGTGTCAGTCAGCGCTGCCTGTTGCCATTAGCAGGTGGTCAGCTTTGATTGTTTTATACACATTATCTCTTGTTTTTTGCTAGCCCTTGCAAAGTTTCTTGAAACTCAAGGTCAAGTACTTTAACAATGGATGTCGTGGACATGGTACAAGGCAGTAGAGAATAGATTACTCATACTGTGCCTCATCACACAGTGTTAGCACATGCTTCTGTGTCGTGACCTTATAATAATGTCATTGAATCCAGAGCCAGTATTTTAGGACTAGCTTTAGTATCAAATTGAAATATTTTTTTTCTCAGCAGTCATGTTTTAGTATAACATTTGCGGTGTTCCTTTTATTTTATTCTTCTCCAAGGTTTTCACTAAAATGACAATGCAGTTTGGTCAGGATTATAATATCGAAACCAACTGTTAGCATTTATTTACAGGATATGCTAGCAGTGCGGGTTAATACAGGGAGCGAGTGCAAAATGGTAGGAGGAAAGGAAAAATTGAACGACAGGAAGGTTAGCCAGTTCTCAGATCGGCTGGCTACCCTGCACTGGGGAAAGGGGTAATGGAAATAAAAGATGATAGAAGAGATTGATTGCTATGTGGTGTCCCAAAAGCACCATATGATTATAAGAGACGTCGTAGTGGAGGGCTCCGGAAATTTCGACCACCTGGGGTTCTTTGACGTGCAGCCAAATCTGAGCACACAGGCCTACAGCATCTTCGCCTCCATAGAAATTGGAGCTGCCGCAGCCAGGATTTGATTCCATGACCTGCGGATCAGTAGCCGAGCACCTTAGCCACTAGACCACAGCAGTGGGGCGGGATGGAAGAAAGATCTTACAAAAAAAAAAAGGAAGGAAGAGGGGAGGCGAAAATGGAGAAAAATGATACCTGAGACGACACTGCTTAAAGACTGTCTTCGAGACTGGTTGTCTGTAAGAAACACAACGTTTTTAAAGCTTTTCGTGCTGAGGACCCATTCTCTTAAGATCTTGTCTCTATACATACAGTCACAAAGGGTCACCCCCAGCAGCTCCCTATGCTGCTTCCTAGTTGGGAAGGTTGTGGGGTCACTTGCAAATTAAACTCTAGCAAGGATGGTCCGCTGGTTGGCTGTCCTGACCACCACTGTAGACAAAGCTTCCCAAGGCTGCTCACAGCTTTTTCTTGAGGCCAAGTTTTGTTACCCCATCAAGGCACCTGTGGGTTGGTCATCTGAAGGTTGGGAAACCAACCTTCATACGTGTTTTGTGTAAGCCTTTCTTGTACAAGCAGCATACGGTAGTGTTTCTACAGCTTCGAAAAAACATTATGGTACTCCCCTTAAGACTTTAACACGGCATGGGGTTGGCTCATTTGTCAGGAAACAGCACTGGCAGAGTTTATGGAAATCATTACAGGAAATTTAATCTAGAAAGTTGAAGGGACACTCAAGTCAACTATTAAGTCTGTGTTGTTTGTTGAAATGGTGGTCCAGGAACCTTGTAGTGTTACTTTTGTGCCAAGGAAGGGCCTATTTTGAAATGAAATCACGTTTTTGTGCTCCACATTGGGTTAGTGCACTTCAAATTACCCGCCTCAAGAAGTGGACTGACCGGACAGTCTCACGTCACTGTTGCCGTGCACAACGTTGCCCAGCTTTACTGCG